GGGACCTTGTCCTCCCTGGACTCATCAACATGGATTCAGTCTCCAGCTTCACGTCCTCAGCCACCAGTATCCTCAGCCAGAGATGGTCATGATTTTCTCTCGACTTCCTCTCCTGCCTCATCAGCCAGACTTCGTATCTCGACCACCCTCAGCCCATTGCTGGTAGGAGGAACTCAAGTACCGTGATTGGTTTAGATAATTCAATGCTACATTGGTACTACTGTTGTTGTCAGGTGGCATTGTTGGGTGCCATTGAGTCGCTCCCACTCACAGCAACCCCACGCACAACAGAACAAACACTGCACGGCCTGAGCCAGCCTCACAAGCATTCCGTGGACGTTGATTGTGGATCCAAGTAAAGTCAGGACTCTGTTAGGGTGCAAGTGGGGGAGATAAATGTTGGGTGGACAACCAAGGACGACATTGCCTTAGAACATGTACAGACTGTCCTTCAATGTGTAGAATTAGAAACCCCTGCCCTGTGTTTTTGATGCAAGATGCATTCTGCGGTCTACAGCTCCCATAACTGTGGTCAGTAAACCCAGCAAGGCTCCAGCCCCAACCCCACCTCTACCACCCACTGGTTGATGCTGAGAAAACTGCCTAAACTGCCGTGCCTCAGTTTCCCACATGTGGGGGAAGATAACAGCACCTATCTCCTTGGGTTGGTCTGCGGACAAATTGGTCGGTCGGTGTCTGGTATGTCATAAGCACTATTTAGGTATTGCCTGCTAACCAGACGGTCAGTGGTTCAAAACCTCCCAGCTGCTCTGCAGGAAGAAGATGAGGCAATCTGCTTCTGTAAAGAGTGACAGCCTTGGAAACCCAATGGGGGTTGCTATGAGTCGGAATCGACTCCATAGCAGTGGGTCTGTTTTTTTGGTTTTTCACATTAGTGCCGTTTGAGCCAGGAGGAACACGAGCCAGTGATCCTAGCTCCCCGGTGATGCTGAGACACAAATATCACAAGGGGATGGTTTTAAAAAACAGGATTTTATTTTCTCACAGTTCTGGAAGCTGGAAGTCCAAACCAGGGCCACGGTGAGTCCTTCCTTGTGGGTAGCCCTGGGCATTCACTGGTTTCTTGTAGCTGATCCTCACACAGAGTCTCCCTTCCACGTGTGTCTGTCCATTCTGCCCTTTTTGTAACTCGGAGGTGTCAGGGTCAAGATCTACCCTGCACTGGTTTGACTCACCCACATAGAAAAGGGAAAGCACCAGGCCCAGGAATTCAACACATGTTTTGAGAGACACAATTCAATCCATGTCATGAATTCAACCAACGTGATTGCAGCCATCCACTGGTACCACC